GTTACATGCAACGAAGGTCACACCGTTCCTACGACCAGACCTCCGGTTAGCTTGTCAGATTTTTTAGTCATAGCAGCAACCAGCCTTTGCTCTGGGAAAGTTGTACATAAACACAAATCGTACTTGGAAAAAGATAGTGCAACAAGAAAACTCATAAAGTTACGGCTTAATGCAAGGTGTGAATGTTGTTCCACACCATTGATTATTCGACATGTACTTACCACTGTAGTATGAATATTCAGTTATTGGGTTATGAGTACGTCGAATTAATAATAGTCAAATCTTGAAATATTTCGAAACAGTCTAGCCATCCGGTATCTCATAACATCGCTCTCTTCATTCCTTTGTGTTGAAGGCTGATGACAACAACGTGAAAAACTTCAAACAAAGTTGTATTTTCGAAGGTGCATTTTCGATCCTTATGATCCAATGAGGATCCAGTGGTGCCATCGTTTATTTCCGGACTTCATCAATCCGATATTTTCTAAGTCTGATATTCATTTTATCCATATATCCTTGTTTCAAAAAATCATATCTACATGATAGAAAATTTAGTCGCACTTCCCTGGAAGATTCCGACGGAAGTTACCCCAAGCCTCCATTCCATCCACATTGGTATTTTCAAGGCATGCTATGTCTAAAACAGTTCAATCTCTGTCAGTGCAGTTGGCAGAGACTCATTGTTGGCAGATTGCATCGGATCCATGCTGAGCGCTCTCCACTACCGTAAAGACTAGCCCTAGTTTATACTACTGAAGTCAATAACGTAACCCTTGTTTATAATACTTTATAATTCGCTTTGTCACGGAAATCCCCACTTTGGTTGTCGTCCAGTCAGCTCGACGAGGTCGGATTATGATTCTTCATAATGTGAAGATTTTGATTCTTCATCGATCCCGCATCATTGTTACTGTGGATTACTATCACCTGGTCTCTCTGATTTTGGCAGATGGTACAGGCTATCGTCCATGCTTGCAGGTGTCCCCAACAAATCGTTCATTTGCCGTTCGATTCGGCCACATGTATGTGGTTCTAGGTGACGGCTTTATGTACCTTGGTCAGCTCACCACTTACTTCATTAAGTTGCTGCGCAACTACTTTCTCTCCAACGGCTTCGCCCTCATCACAGAGCAATGGCTATCTGCCGAAGATGATTCACTATATTAGTAGATAGTTTAAAGCTCAAAGTCGAAGAGACCCAGGCATGCACTAAATTATGGCTGTTGTGTTGTATGGTACTTTGAACCT